CAAAAACGGGATTGAAGTTAAGGGACAAGGGACCGGGGCGGAACCGGATGACTCAGACGCGGAGGAGGAACTACCGATCATGGAGGTCGGAAGATTGGCATAGGGGACCCAGGGCCCAAAAGAAAAGAGAGGGGAATAGGGGTAGGGTTTTACAGTTGCCTCGTGGTTATAACTTTCCCTGTACCTAGCCTCCTAGAGCCGGCGCAATGCGGCCGCATAGAAATGCCCAGCCATCGTCGCGGGCACGTCAGAGAGCCACAAGGGTGGCTGCTCGACGGGACTGGTACGTGCGTAGGCACGTGACAGCACCCGAGGCGCTGACGCTAATCGATTTTCTTTCTTTCTTTTCTTCGGCCACACCTTTCCTTCAACCTTTCTTCTCCTCTCCAGCTTAATATTCACATACGTTCTGCGCAATTCGAGGGCTCAAATGCCACGTCGTAACAATTGCGTCAATATTGTTACGACCACAACCGGAAGGGCAGGAAGGCGGGGCATCGCCAGGCGGCGGGGCACCAACCAGGCCCAAGACCAGCCACTCCAAAGGGGCCCAGAACACGTGACAGGGTTACCTAAGCAGGAGTGATCTGTGATCTGACAGACAGATCGCAGAGCACAGTTGATCTGTGGCTCAACAGACAGATCAAAGGAATCTAGGGCAAGGTATCATAGGTATAAGAAGGATGGATTTCCTTTGTCTCTATAGCTCTTGACTGAGGCTTCGGCATCAGTCAACCTAAGTTAGCATCAAGGGGATCCTTGAGCAAGCAATCATCACCTCTGTTTCTGCAACCCAGATAAGACGCAAGGAACCTTGCGCAGCGCTACTGCTTATCACCTCTCCTAGCATGCCCTACCCTAGGAGCAGAAGGCCTGTTTGTAACCAATATGAGAAGAAATCGAACAAATTACTCCTGCTAATCCTCCATCTGTCAAGTTAACCTCCCGTCCGCCCGACCTTTATCTCGTTATCGACTCGGCCATTTTTTGTGGAACTGCCCGCCCTGCCGGTCGTAGTGGCTTTCACTTCTTGGTACTACCCTTCTTGGCCGCCCTTTTTTTTCCTTCTCGGCCTTTCCGGCGTGGGCGTGTGTCTCGTGCGTGTTGAGCGGGTACGTGATTCAGGCCCAGCGTCAATTGGTTCCACTTTGCAAGCTACTCCACGTTCCGGCAGAGGCTGGCCTGGGACTTGCCATGCCTGGGGGGTATGCATTAAAATCGGCGCTGCGCGTTCCCTATTGGCTTGTCGATGGCTTAGTTTCAATTCATGCAGAGAAGTGAACGCGCTACACTGTGGCCAGCAGGACAAGGGCAAGGGTAAACATCCTTGACATGGGCTTATTGGACGCCTCTTTCGAATCGACGTGGCCTAAGCAGGGGGGTAGGTTTCCGTCCTCCCGTCTGCGGGGTAGGGCGGCGGGTCGGCCAGAACGCTTTTGGGGGCGTAACTGTTACTTCGTTCTTCTTCCGGTGGCCAGTGGAGTTTGCGATTGAGTGATTTGCGAGGCGAGGCGAATGTATCTTTTGGCTTTCGTAACCCTACTGTATTCCGTTTTGGAACTTGCAACCAGGATATGGGGGGGTTTGTCGACGTGGGCCAGGGCGCTGCGAGCATGACGGGGAGGTCCACAGACACTTGTGGAGATACCAACACGGCCAAAAGGTTGCAGGCCGACTGCAGGGCGCGGTGCGAAGGCACATACATGCCTGACACCCCAAGCTGGCCGGGCTCGACGGCGCATATACTGGGATAAGTGTTGCAAGGGCACCTCGTGATCGCACAGGAACTGGCGTCCAAGGTCAGGAGAATTTTAGTCCGGAAGAATTCACGCTCTAGATCCGGGCTCCATACTGGAGCCGGACGGATAAGCACACCGGACCGTGCACGTGGCCTCCGCACTCGGGGCGCGGAGCGCCCCGAACAACACGTCCGCGTTCCGTTCTGCTCCCTTTATAAAAAGGGAGCAGAGAGTCGTTGAACGACTCTCTCTTGTACTTAGAAAAAACAGGACAGCTTCTAGATATTTCGCAATGCAACTAGAAGTTTTTTTTTTTTTTTTTCCCACCCGACATTAAGAGGCTGTCCACGAACACCGGGCCTGGCAAATTTCGGTGCTTTAACAAGTGCACGGACGAAAAAGTGTGGCCATTGGCCACACTCTCCCTTCTACCCGGGGCTTCCGCCTGTACCCCTAACAGGCGCCCACAAACGAAAAAACTCTTCAATCTGCCGCCCTCAACACCGCCACTACAACGCCTCCCCGACCCCTACGCAACACAAACAATCGGCAGATGCCCCCCCGGCGAGTTTTCCATCGAGCGCGGTGAAGATAGAGTCCGCTCGACGGCCCGGCGCGCCGCCCGCGCAGAGGCGCACACGACAAGGCCCGACCTCGCCCGATGAGCCAGCGTGGCACCAAAAAAAACACCAGCCCCGGCTACTGGCCCCGGCTGGTTCCTCCCCTGGGAGGATAAAACAAGTGGTGGCGGCGCGGATAAAACGCCGTTACGTCAAAAACCAC